ATTATTTGTGTGGTTGATGACTTGATTATTTCGTGGTAATTCATGATCACTCCAATGAAATGAATAAAAATACGTTTGTCTAATTACCATTAGTTGATTTTATTTATACGACCAATTTCGGGTTTGACCCCATTGTCAAGTATAAAACTAGAATGTAAAGCTAGCCACTCGCGCCAGTGAAACAGCAGGAAGAAATTCCAAAAATCCACGGCTTTCAAACTCGAAAAACAGTGACACTGAAAACCTCAGCCGCGAAAGTCTGAACCATTTTTTCATAAATCTAATTGCTCGTTTAGGGGTATATATTTCTGGTTTTTAATTGATTTGTTAATTTCCATGACTTCCACAAATTAATTTTTTTCCATTTATTACATACTAGCTTTTACCCGCGGTTTCGCTCGCATTTATGCCATTGAATGAGTGTCAGTACAATAGAAATGAAGCAATATGAGAACTATATTTTGATGCTTGGCTGGGATTATCAATTTTCAAAAATTATTACAAACAATGAAGTTTTGAAAATTTAAAATATGCTTTATTAAATTGCAACAACAAATTTCAAAATAATTAAGTGGCATCTGGTCACAAAAATGGCACCTAACCTAAAAATAAAAATGACAGAAGAAAATAACAATAAATATAGAAAAATTCCAAACAGCTGAAACTATAGTCAATTGAATTGGATTGGATATTGTCGTGACTGTGAATAATACAGGGCGACGGTATTGCGAAGGGGTAATCTTCATTATTGGAATGAGTTAAACAATTAGTGACCAGTTTCTCTAATAGAAATATTATAGCAGATGAATCTTATGAAACACACATAAGTAAATTATAACCAAACTGCAGAGAACACAATATAGTTGTTAAATATAGAAGCATCAACTACACAGGTAAACATTCAGAAAATATTCAAAATTACTTCTCTAAATACAAAGTAACAACAGCTTTCGTAAGTAATAATGATTCAGACAGAACTCTGTTAACTGCAAAACCAAAACGAGATGAATGAAATGAATGAAAAAATCAGGTAAATAATAATATAGAATAGAGTATGGCGAATGCTCTGCAGTATATACAGACCAAACTGGTAGAAATTTTGACGTGAGGCTCCGTGAACATGNTTTACTTATTCGTTATGACCGGTTTCGGCTTATAAGGCCATTTTCAAGTAACTACCACAAATTGTAAACCGGTCGTAACGAATAAATAAACACAGTAGAAACTAGACAAAAATATTTTCTTTATTCTATATTCAACATGAATTCCTACAAAATAAATAAGTCATCAATCGAACGAGCTAGAGTCGATTCACGTAAAAATAGCTTCATTACAATTGAACTCACTTCATACCTATATTTTTTCCGAAATCTACATGCATAAACTCGAATTCGTATATCCCTGTATGATCAAATATGCAATTTCAACACCGGAAAAGTATTTCAGACAACTGGAGGAAATGGAATGGCACTGAATGGGTATCATCATTCGTTGTTTACTTGTTCGTATACAGTCTTCATACTTTTGTATACGATGTTCAGCAGAAAAATTTTCCGGAGATTATTGAACTTTTTGAAAATAAAAAGTTTCACATTGTTATGGATATGTTCGCAAACCAGTTCCGCTGCCGCTTGATCCAACAAAGAGAACGAACTGCAGTGGAGATACCAACACATCATATCCCTTCCGGTTTACGAATCATGTTGGATTATCCTATTATCCTAAAGTTGAATTTCGCTCAGTTTACGAAACTTTTGTGCAAACTCCATCAATTTGCATCTCGTGCTAGACTGAAACTGGAGCGTGTTGTATGATATCTCCATTTTTATTTGCACGATTTGTTTCACACTGAAATACGTACCATTTCGGAAAATGATTTTGTTAATGAAACAGACAAACAATATTATATTATTCAACGAGCCAGAAGGATAGCCATTACTCGAGAAAATGAAGTTCATCAAAGCGAGCTGTTGTTTATCATTCGAGAGAGCAGAAAAGAATACTATAGTTTTTTAAAACATATTGAGAATATTTCAAAATAGTTTTCGAATGGAACAATTGACAAGTGGATATGGTATAATAATCCAGATTTCTACAGCTACTCCACGGAGATCCTTACAAACTAGTGTGACATAAAGTTAATCTCATCACTCACTCTCTGTAATTGAGTGACGAACTTCTGAAAATTATTACCAACTTTGTCACATCACAAATTTGACAGTAATGTCCTTTTCCAAGTCGACGTTTTCAACCCAGTTCTTCGTTAGAAACTATATATTTCAAATTGAACTGTCAGTTCAGTAATTGAGTGTAATGTTTCAAAACATATTTTGGGGTAGGTAAACTGTCAAAGCTATCTTGAAAATAATTGAAACCATACTGTGAAGTAATGAAATTGCTCATCTGTGATACCTGAGTGATGAATCTAGTCAACTGGGATTGGTTAAAAAGTGTGAGTGATGGACACTTTATGCAATAGTCATAAAAAAATTTCACAAACTACACCTAACGATTTGATCTTCACAAAATTTATTTTCAAAAATATATTACATGTTTTGCTATCATTGTAGCTTTTTCGTAGTAAAAAACCTAATGATGTTTGTATATACCTGTGTTAATCACATGTGATATTTATGAAAATAAAGTTTGTGAAGATCAAATCGTTATTGTAGTTTGTGAAATTACTATGGATCTAAATCAAGTAACGNTATATATATATATATATATATTATGAAAATTGTTACACAGTCGTTCAAAATGGTACATAGTAGAAACTGGGGTTTAGTTAACAAAAAACTTTTTCTCGCTCCAGAATAAAAACACCGTATTTCGCCAATGAAGTTGGCATTATTTTTTGATGATGCCAACATGCGGGACGCATGTTGAAAGACAGTAGTTTAGTTCTGATATAGAAAGTCCTTCATTTATATTATTTTCACGCGAATCTGCCTGTATGTCTCTACTTGTTATTCCAGAGGTCGAATATTTCCAAATGAACGAATACGTGAAGCCACCTTGGTAATTTCAAATGACGAATTCACTGAATGAACGTTTCGCAAAATTCTTACCCTTAGTCTGTTACTGAAGATATTTTCAACTGCTTCTGGTAGATATTCTCTTGTTTTTGCTACATCTGACCATTTTTCGATATTTTCTTGATAGGCGTCAACACCATGGCTATAATAGGAGAGGTAGTGTTTTGACAAAGAACACTGTCTCTCCAAAACGAATCCATATCTTCTTCTCTCCTGTGTCATGGCCTGCAGAAAACGAAAAAATTAATTGGTGAAAATTTTATGCTATTTCAAAACAAGATTTCATTTGAATAATTCTGAATTGATAATCAACTATAAATTTCACATGTCTGTGAATGACGGCACATTTATGTTCCTTTTTTGTGAATCGAATTTATGCTATTTCAAAACAAGATTTCATTTGAATAATTCTGAGTTGATAATCAACTATAAATTTTACATGTCTGTGAATGACGGCACATTTATGTTCCTTTTTTGTGAATCGAATTTTGAACATTTCACACAATGAATATTTTATGGAGTAAAAACCTTCTGACTTTTACTTCCGTGTTTCTCCACCATTCAATTGGAAGTTTCGAGACGGATTTTTTTCCAATTTGTGTCTGAATGTAACTCCTATGCTTGATATACAAGGCGTTCCAACAAAAACTTGACCCCCTTGTAAGTCAAAAACGAATGTGTAACCGAAAATTTCAAAGAACACTTCAAATTTTATTTATAGGGAGACTAGAAAAAAATTTATCAATTCATTTTATATTTTATGAATATGATTTGTGATATAGATATAGACAAAATATGACGAACTTGTGATGCACTGTTTGGAACCTTTGGTGCAGTAAAATTCAAAATATGATGACTTTAAAAAACTTCACTTTACTGTCTTCAATGAATAAATCAGGGTTTTCAGAAAAAATAACAGATTTAGTAAATCATATTGAGAAAATAATGCGAACTTGTGATGCACTGTTTGGAACCTTTGGTGCAGTAAAATTCAAAATATGATGACTTTAAAAAACTTCACTTCACTGTCTTCAATGAATAAATCAGGGTTTTCAGAAAAAATAACAGATTTAGTAAATCATATTGAGAAAATAATGATATGACAGTGCTACAGCAATGAATTATTTATTTTGTTTGTCCAAAATATTCACCCCACGGAAGTAACGGTGAATATTTATCGATTCCAGGAAACAATCCGGGAAACAATAGTTCCCCACAGAACCGTCTAATACCCATGCATTTCCAATCTAATTTAAGTTGTTATCTCGTCGAGCCATTCGGCTAAGGAAACGGGAAACAAAATAAACACTATAAAGCGAAACTACTATTACCTTAAGTTCTTTATCCATGGCCAGTCCGGTTTTAGTGGACCCTCTAGATTTCTTCCTTTGTTTCTTCATCATCGCAGCTGCCTTGCTGTACGTCTCGGAGCGTTGTTTATGTTGTTGTAGAAATCGTTTCTGCTCCGACTGAAACAACGGACCATCAAACTCAATCTTACTTTTCCTAACAAGTTAAGTTCTCGATTCATTCCGTTTTGTACTGTCCGGTAAGTTTGCACTTCATTTATTTGAATTTTGTTCTTTTGTTTCGAGAGATTTAAAAACAATGACAGATGAGGGTTCTAGTTTCCAAACATTCGTTTTATAGTTGTAAAAATTGTATTTCCTTCATATCCGTATTTGAAGGTAATATCACTTGAGTGAGGTATTGATTGATTGATTCTTGTATAGTTGGAATTATAACTTAATTATAACATCAACATTTGCAGAGCTCCATTGGAAAAAACATGTTGAATGTGATCCCCATTGAAACTTCAGTTTTAGAGTTCTTAGAGTTCTACGAATGATGACTGAAATAACGTTTTTGACTCAAAATTCATTGATATTAAGGGTTACCAACACAAACATTGACAGATATTCATATTGGCGATTTGTTTTCATTGATTTGATTACCAGAATATTCAAGAATATTAAGGAATTTTTCACCTTCCACTACTCGCAGCTTATGTCAACGACCGAAGTACACTCATTTTTTGGAAATTTCAGCAGAAGAAAATTCCATAGAGCTCCCTGTCTTCAGTTATGTTGAGTCCAGAGAATTTCTTCAAAAAATTGTTGTACTCTTTTGGATCTGACAGATCTATGCTTGTTGTCTGCTCGTATTGCGATTTCCATAGATTTTGAAAGTAATAGTGGTAGGTAGTAGTAGTTCATTAATCACCAAATTATATGGATTTATAAAAGCATACAATAGTGAAACTGGGCGATTAGTATAGATAAAAGGAAAAATAGGTATGTGGAAACGAGTCTTATTGAATTTTTATCAGAGGAAATATAAGTATTGATGATTCACTTAGGTTTTTGGAAAATTCCTCAGCGAAAGATCAATTTCGAAATTCTTCCTTTTGAAGATAGTCAAGATATAAAGTATTTTGAGATACTTGGGCAAAACATTTCAGTGCTTATATTTGTAAATAGTATTAACAATATCGATATTATTTTTTTGTGAAAAGATGTGAATAATAATCTTAGTATACTACAAAAATACACATTTAATATAAAATCCGAAAGTATAAAATCTCTAAATGTTTAAATATTTTGAATAAACTCAAATTGGTTCAATTTCTGAGGTTGCAGTCAATACCTGGACTGTTACAAAAAAAACTCTTTGATATATGTCAATCTCGCGATATTTTTCACAACTTTGTCAAGACAACTACAATAATGAGATTATATATCTTGTGACAATATGAATATGGGACATTTATTAACGTGAGAATAAAATATAGAATGGCTCAAAAACGGATAGAAAAAACATAAAATAACGAAAGGTATCAAAATTTGACCGACAATGTCGAGTGGAAGAATTCTGAATGATACTAGATCTTTTCTTTTCTTTTCTTTGTCATATATCGGTATATCAGCAAAATTTACAAATTTGTTAAGTAATTTGCAATGCGATTTTTCGTTCATTATATTTCATTATTAACTTTTTTTTTAAATATAGACCTTTATTGTAATAAATAGCTGAATTTGTTATAGATGTGGTTACAAATATCGATGGAAATAATTGAGGTCTGTAGGAAATGATACTGAACAAAATGGAGAGATATCTGTTGATGCAACTATAGAACAGTTACAACAGATTAAAACTTCATCAAAATGATTGAGAGAAATTTACAATACTAATACTCATAAATTTTTTTTTCGAAACATTCGAAACCCCCTATCTTGGAACCAGTTTATTTCCAAAACTATGTTGATAAAACCATTTTCCATGTAACTACCTCACTTATTTCACGGAAACTAGGAAATACCCTGAATGAATCGGAATACTCGCATATTCATTATTTGAAACTGAATAATATTCTAACAAATTTTAATAAAAAGTGCCGTTTCTAAAACAGGCTGTTTCTGATATACTTTCGAATTGATGTAGGTAGTAATATGGTAGAACGAAAAAGTTTTATTTGATACGTTTTGTTTTTATTCGATGGAGTTTGGAATTGCTTGCTGAGTGTGAAATGGGCTGAATCTGTTTATATAGCTACGGAATACGATTTTATCGATATACGATATGCTGAAAAGGAAACATATATTTGTAATGATTTCCAGAAGCTTCTTCGCATGAAATATTCGAATTTGACTAACAATAGAAGTAATAATACATTCAATAATCTAATCTAGAAGAACAATTCGTTCAGGCCAGTCTCTACCCGGTACACTGTGTGTTAATGGACTGACAACTATCAGAAAACAACTACTACCCTGGCTAATAGTACGAAGGGCATTGGATTACATCCGGCAGGTGTCAGTGCAGGATTATTCACTGAAGTCATTCCTGCATATGCTGTTGGCGATGCAACTAGCGCAATAGATTTTCAATTATTGAAACACACTTGCGGACCGGTTTCGAGCTGTTTGGCCACTCGTCAGTGCAAGATAGTGTCTATCATCAACATGTCGATATGTGAAAAGTAATAATCCATGAAGAAAAATACATTTTTATGTAGGTATTTTTTTAATACATATGTACGTATTCATTTTTGAAGGATAATTGTAAAGATCCATACTTAGAGTCAGGTACATACTCTAAAAAATAAATATTCACCTCTAACAACGTCGTATTATAACATTAACTTCTAGAGATCATATTTCAGTATGTTATTCAACGAGTTAGAAATATGGACATTATTCATGATAATGAAGGTTCCTTCAGGCGAGCAAGGACCATCCATCACAAGCAGAATACTATACTTTTTCCATGATGCATATCAGGAATATATATTCAATTTTATAGTTCGACAATTAGGTGGTTGTAAACAATTTGAGAAAATCTACGCTTAGTAGGATTTGAACTCTGCTACTTCAGTCCACGAGTCCCTACATTGTCATTTTCTGATGTGGCACAGACATTTCCAAATCAAGTTTTCATTTCTGTTTTCTATATTACAGTTCATATTCATTTCTAAACAAACTGTCAGTTCAATGCTTGAGTTCAACATTAGAGAACATATTTAAAGTTATGTAAATTCTCAATACTCACTTGCAAATGAAAATAAATGAGAAACACGACTTTGAAGTTTTGAATTTCGTTATCTGTGATTGGTCTCGAAGGTACAAAGTTAGGAATCGGATCAACTCAGTTAAGGTTTTATCAATAGTCACTAAAAATATTTTGATTTTTCTCATATTTCATGAGCAATATTTATCATATTTTCCAATAGTGAAATCTGTCGACAGAAAGCTGTCTGTTTTTTCAATTGAATTCCATTTCCTGTTCATCAAACTTCTCGAATATATTGCAATTCCAACTTGGCTGTTCGATAGCATTTGCAAATTAATTCCATTAAACTTTCCAAGAATAATATTTTCTCATATACTTTATATGAAATAAACTTGCAACATAATTCTCCAAACATCTCTTCCAAAGTTTATAGCAGAAATATTTCATACCGTCCTGGAATTAACAAACTATGTCAAGATGCAAGATCAGTTGCGTCCGTGAAAGAGGGAATGAGGATAAATATCATCATCTTCCACATTGAACAACAGAGAAAAATGTTAGGTATATTATATGCATTATTTACTTTGATTCCTGAAAATTGATAGTCACAAAAATAATCCCCTCCTTTGTTTCTGTATTCATTATTTTCGTACTTCATATTTACATTCGAGGATGGAATACTTCTTCGTGAAGAAGCTGTCAAAGATCTAGGGGTGACGTTCGACAGCAGATTGACATTTGTTTTGTTCTGCGCAACTGTCAATCATTCACCAATATTATCACCTCAACCATACTTTACACATCTCTCGTTCGCTTTAAGTTAAAGCATGCTACTTCAATTTGGTATCCTCTCTGTAATGTACACAAGGAAACCTTGGAAAATGTGCAAAGGCGTTTTCTGAAGTTCCTTGCATTTAGAACTGATGGCGAGTACCCTGCTAGAGGAACTGACCATTCCACACTACTCCAAAGATTTTCATTAACTATTGTTATGTTATACAAAATATTGCATTGTTCCATTGGTCACCTTCGTTTCTAGAACAAATCAACTTCAACGTATCTCAAGCCTCTACCACTTAGACAGATCACTTTCTATACCCCTTTTACTATTTCCAACCCTGGAAAGTGTCTCCTATAAATTTGATGTGTGATAGTTATAATACCCACTGCTATCAATGCGATATTAATTTCAATCCACTGNGAATCATTGAAAACGATAATATTTTGCGAATTTCACAAAAAATAATAATAATCAAAATGAATTGATCATCATGATTATGAATAATTTGCTTGAATTCTCCGAATAGAACAATAAAAACACATGAATTATTTATTTTACCCTTCAAGGAAACAAACTGTTTGCAGAACTCTTCTCTGTTGATGCGTTAAATGAGGTAGATAATACTCCTGCAGAACACTTCCGATATTTTCGATACATCGTTGCTTACGGCCAAAAAAATATTGAAAACTGAGTTTCATGAATGTTGATTCATCAATACATTTAGTCAATAACTATTAATCAGTTTTTATTTAAATTGAAAGTGTTATATTTTGAGGAGTGAATAATTTTTGGGAAAGAAAGTTTTTGGAAAGTAATCAATTATTTTAAAGTAAGTAACTTTAGACATGGATGTCTAGATCATGTAAAGAAGTAACTTTCAGAAAACTGGAATAGAAGTTTTTTATTCATCCTTTATTTTAGACATTAGGTATGTGTATTATAGATTACTTTCAATTGTATATTAGCATTTAATTTTATATTAGCATATAAATGAATGAATTCACTTTCATTCATTTATTTTTCAACAACAACAACAACAAATCATCAACAGATTCCGCAAGCTGCTTCTTCACATTTTCATATACTTTGTATTTTCATATCTATATTTCCGTAATTATTTGGTTAACACAATGTACGTCAATGTATATTCTCTACGACGCACATACAAGAGAATACATTTATTCCACTCATTTTGCTAGATGCATTTGTTAGAGTTGTATATAAATCACAACTTTGAATGCGAATATTCAAATTTATCTTTGAATAAACATGTTCGTAGTCTAAGAAATATATAATTTATGGAAGAGAACGAGCCATACTCTCATCTGGTTTGAATGGTGAATTCGTATGTTATTCATTAAATAAAAATAGAATATGAACTGTCGCGTCGGTGAACAAAGTTTCTTTCGGAATGATATGAATTATAACGTTGTAAAAGACAAAAGACATTCAACTCTTTAATCTCCTCTAAAAACATTTCCGTCTATTTACTGCTTCTCTACTTTTAACTTGTTACTTGATTGATCTTTTCAAATCTGGATATATTTGGAAAAATTGAAAAAATACTCCTGTATTCATTTATTCATTTATGGGTAATATCTGTTAATGAATTTCAGACTTGAATGTATATTTCTTCGGCAGTCTGTTATTTTCAAAACCCTTTTATGGATCCATTTGGAACTGGCAAATAAAAATGCTAGGTGATCATCAGCCTTATTCATGAACATTATTTCAATCTATGAATATGTTATTGAATGGTAAGTGACCATGAAAAAAAATATTTCTAATTTATTTTACATTTGCAGGTTTAACGGTACTGATTGAGTAGTGAAGATGAAACTATGAAAATATTGAGGGATACGATGGAAAATAGAAATACAAGTATAAGGTGATCTCAATATTTTTCAATTTCTCGAGAAATTCATAATACTCAATGTATTTAAGAAACTCACCTTCAATCAAACTTCAGTAGTTTTCGAAATATAATTGCTTCTGATGTATAAAAACAACAGAGAGTGACTTTTTGGTCTTCTTCTTCTAGAATTATACGAAAAACACTTTCCTCTATTCCGTTTGTATTCGAAATAATCGTTATGGGATCGAATTAGATATCATTCACGGGATTCCTTCACAATATAATTGATGAAAGAAGTAAAATTTCACTTACATGGAACACTGTCATCCTCACTGCTAGACATTCGCCATAAGACACTTGACGTATCGGCTCTTCAGTAGCAAATACGGATAACATTATAAGAAAAAAACACTCAATAAGTCAATGATTTTTATTCACGTACTGTCATCGAAGACATGGATGGATTCAACCCATTCCATGACAGAAAGTTATTATGAACGAATTGTTTCTTCTCAAAATGTTATCCGTATTTTTGCTACTGAAGAATCGATAAGGCAAGTGTCTTACGGCGATATATCGAAGTTACTTCATTGAATGATCAATACATCTTTGTAAAGAGTTAATTTTTGAAATTGATTGTTTCTTTCCTGTCTTTGGAAGATTCCCACATTTTTTTGTATCAAGATGGTGAAGTAGATGACCAAAAACATTCTTTTCCAAAAATTAGTTTCTCCAAAAAGTTTACTCTTTCAATTCTTTCAACTCAAGATTCCTATGGCTGGGAGTTGATCAAATAAGCGAATAAATGTTTTTCACGTATTGTCATCAATGACATGGGTGGATTCAATTCATTCCGTGGTCGGTAGCCAGGCGGTTTGACGTGGGTTCTTTGTTCACTCACTAGAATTGACTGCCGTGTTGGTCGGTGGTTCAAGACCCAGTCTCAATGATCGATTTTCACTTGCTATCGTCCAATCCGTGTAAGGAATCACACGTTGAAAGGTTAGACCTCGTTAATCCTTAGCTCGCACAAGTTTCGACTTCTGAGGGTTGTCGTTCGTAGGGGTGCGACAACTGGTTAACGAAAAAATAGATTTTAAACAGACTAAAACAGATTTTAAACAAAAAGTCCTAATAATGAACGAATTGAGTGTTTTTTCTTATAATGTTATCTGTATTTGCTATTGAAGAGTCGTCTAACGACGAAACATCGGATGTCTAGCAGTGAGGATGACAGTGTTCCATGTAAGTGAAATTTCACTTTTTTCATCAATTATATTATGTAGGAATCCTGTGAATGATATTTGATCTGATCCGAATACGAATGTTCGGAATGCAAATGGAATAGAGAAAATTGTTTTTCGTATAATTCAGCGTTCATATAAAAGTATTTCTTCTGAAAGTATTTTCACTTCGTGTATTTGAATGTTTATATAAAAACAGCTGTTTCGAAAGGGTTCTCTTTTCCAGTTTGTATCTAAAAGTTTCTTCTCTGCATGATTCACATATCTTTGTATATATTTAATTTCTGAAACGGGTTGCTTCCTTTTTTTCTTTGGTTCTTTGGGAGATTCCTACTTTTTTTGTATTGAAATGGAGA